TGAACTCCCCTTCATTCCTTAAGGTGGTTTATTTTAAATGTAATCCACCCTCTATTCTCTCAGCCACATCTTGGATTTACTTGTTTATTGGCTATATAATTGGTATTTACATACATGTCTATATATGTAATTAAGACCATTTTCTTTTGTAACAAAGTCAAGGAGTTTGTAGAAAAGAGTTGTATTATTATTAATGGCTAATTTGTCTAATGACCGCATGCTATGGAGGCAGGCATGACTGATCAGTATGTATGTTTTTTTTTTTTAAATCAATTTTAGTTTAAAATATATATTTTTTGTGCATTGTGTATTGGGCTTATTAGAGAATTGAAGAAAGTGCTATATTTCATAGAATTATGTAGGTAACTGAATCTCAAGGGCTATTTCCCTCGCCCGTTGTGTGTTGTAGAGTTGAAATTGTTGTACAGACCTTTGTAACCAACTCCCCTTCTTAACCATTTCTTCATTCCAAAAAAAAAGGGTGTATAATGGGAGGGCCTGGCTCATCAGTGGTGAACCCATCCCTCAAATATCATTGCATTTATAAGATGACAAGACCACATACAAATAAATTTTGCATAATGTTTCGGTAAGGTAACAGCATTGTTACCAAAATATCGCTCACTATTTAGTTGTGGTCTTTGTTATTTTTCTAACCTATAATCCTAATTAATATCAATGTTGCTATACAGTTGGATGGGACTTCACATTGCTATAACCAAGTTGCTGTTAGAAAAGCAGCCTGTTAAAACAAAGTTTCAGTATATTCTGAAGGAGTAAAAACTAGTTTTTAAAATGCAGTATCAAATAGTGCCTTAAATTTCAACAATGATTGGGCACTGAGTTCTCTTCCTTTCTTTACCCCTCACTTTATATTTTGTATAATAACATATCCTCTGGTTCCTCAATAGGCCGCTATACTTTGTAATGTTGTGACAACCTCCTGGATAGGTTGATTACCCAGCTTCAGCTTGGCCGTAATGGCCGCCAACCCCTTTTTTCCATTCACCAAATGCCAAGCTGTCAATATGTTATAATAGACATCTTAATGTACAGCCATTTTATTTGTACCCTAATTGGCTGTCCAATGTCACATGACATCAATTAGCATATTGAGTCCATTAGTCAATCTGCTGCCTGCAGTGTTGATTTCAGCTTCAAGGTATAAAATTTAGGCTGATTGTATGATACCTTATGACTGGAACTGGTTACTTTTTGGTTTCTTGCTTAACTTTGGGAGGAGAGTGTAGAAATCAGGTTTCTATCAAAATATCCGCCTTTTAAATAGGGTGTTAATTTAATTCTTAACCCCTATCATATACAGTAGAACTACCTCTCTGTAATGTACAAAACCTAGTTGCAGAGCCAAATTGTTCTTTAGGGAGATGTCTTCTTACTGGAAAGTTGCTAAATACTAAAAATGGTAATTTTGACAATGAAAACTGTCCTTTGTAGAGAACTATACTCTAGCGTGAGTGTCCTCTCATAGAGGTTCTACTGTGTGAAAAAGGTAATAAATACTTAAAAAAAAAATTGCTCACTTTTATTCTTCTCCTGGGGTGATTGAATCACCAAGATAAGGATCTTCCTATCAACAGACTGCTCAGCCCAAGACTGTCTAGAGGACACTTCGATCCCTCTGACCTTTGTGAAGCATATTTTTGGAGAGAGATAATTTGCTAGATAGCTCGTCATTGGCTGCTGCAGCCTCTTGTGACCATTAACCCATACTTTTTTTACACATCTATTCCCATTGTGTGAATGCACAAAAACAAATTTTTTTTTTGGTCCTTTTTTTTTTCTGGATATTTTCTACTACAGTAAAGACCTCTTTCTAAAGAACACCTAATTGTGAGCCAAACTTATCATTTAGAGAGGTGTTCTGGAGAGTGTTGCTAATTAGTAATAATGGTAATTTGAATGATGAAAACACTCCTTTGTTTAGAAGTGACCACTAGTGAGAGTGTTCGCTCTTACTGTATTGGATATTTGTGAAATGTTTTTTACAAATTCTTTGTTTTTTTGGCAATTAACCTAATTTTCTAAATTGCAGCTCTCTCCATCATTTTTGTTGTTAATGGCGAATCCTCTAAAAGCTATTACTCTTGGCATTTTATGTTGGATTAGACCAAGACTGTGTATGTTAAATTCATTATTTGTCCGTAAATTTGTGTAATACATCTATTTAGCTGAGATTTTGCAGACATGTAATCACAATGATCAAATTTTGAGCCAAAATAAGTAGTTTTTATGGAGAGAGAATATGAAAAATATAGTAATGAATATAAATTGAGCATTATGAAATATATACTGTATAATATATTTTTAATTCAACACTATATATAATTTTTTGAATTCCAATAATCCTGTATAACCTGTTAATGTAGACTACAAAGCAGTGTTTCAATGAATTGATATTATCTTAACAGACTTTAATTCAACCGAAAATTCTGATCTCTAGGGGTGATGAATTTGGGCTGAATGAAAAATTAATTAATAAAAAAACTAGGTATTTTGAAAAAAACAAGTTTTTATTTAAAAAAAACTGGGTGGTGTCATTCGGCAACAATAAGGAAGGATGTTAGCCAGGTGCACTGCAATAGGTCTATCCTGCCTGCCAACATGAGAGGTGGTCTTGGTTTTAAAAATGGACACACTTTCCATGCCCCATTGCTTGGGAAGACAATGGGAACTTGATGATTGATATGTCTGCTCAAAGTACCTACTGTGGTGGTCTGACTTGACGACAAGTTGCTCATAACATACAGGGTTGCTGACAACCCTAACATAGATGCAGATCTTGTTGGTAGTTGTAACTTTTAATTACGGTTTAACATCAGGCTGGCTAGCCTATCCCAATTGATTGATGGCTAAGACTGAATGATATTGGCCACTTTATCTGATGACCATTCTCCTATTCACCAGAATTCAGCTCAGGGTAATCCTAGCCATATCATTAAAAGTTAGAGAACCTATTGTGATCATCCCCTACACTACCCAAGTGTAAAATTGAGGATAGTTTCTACCCCCATTATGCCATCATGTGTGTTCACCTGACCGTGTTGTCCCCTGCAGAAATGGCACCAGCATGATTTCCCTCATCATCCCGCCCAAGGACCAGATCTCCAGAGTGTCCAAGATGTTGGCCGATGAGTTTGGCACGGCCTCCAACATCAAGAGCAGAGTGAACCGGCTCTCTGTCTTGGGAGCTATCACATCAGTACAGCACCGTCTCAAGCTCTACACCAAAGGTGCGTTCCACCTCTTTAAAAAAAAAGCCTTTGGCATTGTAGATGTTATGTGATGTTGGTTAGTCCTCCAGTTTGTGGAACCATCTCAATGGAAGCCTACCAACAAGCCATGGCATTACAAGAATTATTTGATGTGTAGCTTATAGAGATGGTACGATACAATATGCAAATGTGTTTTTCATTCTCAACATTGATGATATCTTGTTAATTTTCAAATGAGAGTAGTTAAAGCCTTCCATGGGAACTTGTGTTGTCATGTTGTGAAAGTGGTGCAGGCTGTTCCTGTGGTGTCTCGCAGCAAGATAACTTATCATTATTGTGCAGGAAATGTTCAGCTCAAGTGTTGTGTCAACAACAAATCTCACAGATAGCTCTCTCTATATAGTCTTCTTTAAATGTTTGGTCCCCCTCCATGACAAGCCTAGTGTATTTTTAACACCAGTATATGTTTTTTTTTTTTTTTTCAAATTAAATTTAAAATATAAGCTAAACACACCCCCAAATAAATAAATAGTGTAATGTTTTGGTAACAGCGTTGTTACCAAAATGTCACACTATTTGGGTTTGGTCTTATTACCTTGGGTTTATAATCTATAATCCAAATTGTGCCTTATCAAATATAGGTTGCTAAATTTAATTTTTAGTTTTGTAACAATTTACTTTCATTTGGATTTGGTCGTCATCACCTTGTGATTCATATCTATAAACCAAATTATACTTAATCAGGAAATTTTTGAGCCATAAGTTATCATTATAATCTGCAATAAGGGTTTTTGCCCCCCACTTGGGCAATAAACTGGACAGAATTTGACATATAGAGGAATGCCAGTTGTACAAAGATTGAAAGCTAGTCAAAAGACTGCCTGATAGGTTATAAACACAGGCTAGTAGGTTACAGACTAGTTCCAGTTAAGTTTATTGCTGCCCAGCCAGGGTAATACTGAGGTTAAAGCCAGAGGAGTTTAGATGCTGTTTGATAAAGTCCTATTTTATTGCTGGTTTGGTTTTTCACCAATCCAGAGAATTCACACTTGGTCAATCACTTTAAAAAAATGCTTCAATGGTTCATTCCTGATTATTGTAAAAGTTAAATTTTTTAATTATGCAAATTTACATAATCCTTACTTTCAGTGTTTGAGAGGCCTTCATTTATTTCAATCATGATTTAAAAAAAAAGATTTTTTTTGCTGAATTTTGGCAGCTAAGTAAAAATTTGCTAATGGAGCTGTGCTTCCTGTACATGAAATGGTTGAATCAAACTTTCAGATTTTTTTTTGCCATTTCCCTTGGGAGGGAACAAATGTGTGGAAGTTGTGCATGGAGATTTTCACGTGAGGTAAGCGTGTAGTTGGGGTGTGCAGTTCCTCCCAATGGCCTGGTGATCTACTGCGGCACCATAGTGACAGAGGAGGGCAAGGAGAAGAAAGTGAACATAGACTTTGAACCGTTTAAGCCCATCAATACCTCCCTCTACCTCTGCGACAACAAATTCCACACAGAGGCGCTGTCTGCGCTGCTGGCCGACGACAACAAGTTTGGCTTCATTGTGATGGACGGAAGTGGGGCCCTGTTTGGAACCCTGCAGGGCAACACCCGGGAGGTGCTGCACAAGTTCACTGTGGACCTGCCCAAGAAACACGGCAGAGGAGGACAGTCAGCCCTTCGGTTTGCCCGTCTGCGTATGGAGAAGCGACACAACTATGTGCGCAAGGTGGCTGAAGTGGCCACTCAGCTCTACATCTCCAACGACAGGCCCAACATCGCTGGGCTCATCCTTGCTGGGTCTGCTGACTTCAAGACTGAGCTCAGCCAATCAGACATGTTCGACCCTGTAAGTTCACCTCTCTTGTCTTCTCTGAAGCCCCAACTACTGTAAAGTGAGATTTTCTACAGCATGATGTGACAGAGAGACCAAATCCAAATTGTACCATGTGTCAGTTAGACTTCCATGTCTGCAACATCCATGCCACCTGCACATTATAATACAATGGAGAGTCACATGTGGTACCTTGTGGTTTTTTAGGATTGAGGGTAGGATTCATGGCACCTTCAGTGAGCCCAATGGCACTTTTGTAAAACAGGAATTATTGGATAGTGTCACCCTACTTGGTTGCTGTCATTGGTGGCTTCTTGAATTTTTCATTTGCCTAACACCAGAACTTGGCATGAGTCAAATCTCTTCAAGTTACATAGCTCCCTTTTGAATGATAGGTGGTTATGTAGGCAGTTTGTGTGTGGTTGGAATTTGAAAGACTGTAAAATTATAGTAGGTTTATTGAATAATATTTTATTGTATGTGAACAAGAGAATTTATACTTTTAGAAACATAAGGTATATAACAAGGCCAAATCCAAATGAAGAAACTGTACATGACGTTTCGGTAACATCAGCCTAGGTTTCAAATCGTACTTTTGTCGTACTACCAAATTGTACTTTATCACATTATACTGTTTAAAATCATTAGCATAGCAGCAGTGGTTATATTCTATCTTGGTGAAAATTAGGAGGTTATCCCCCTGACAACATTTTTATCATAATGGGATGGGGGAAAATTCTCTTTAGAATCCCTCCTCAGCAACTTATATCACCTACACAAGGTTTTACCATGTTTTGAAGATCATTTATTGGTTGGAAGTTTGTTTGGAAAAATATATGGCTGCAACAGCTAATTTGTCATTTTGTTCCAGACATTTCAGGGACTCTCCTCATGGGAATAATAATCATTCCCCTGAGAAGAATTGCAGCGAGTCTCAAACATTTGGAACTAAATGAAAAATCAGTTGATTATCATGGTGATGCACTTCTCAGAAAACTTGTGGAAATCTTAAGGTGCCAAGACCACATCCAATAAAAAAATTATAAGTAACATTTCTGTAACAGCTTTATTACCACCTTCAGACAAAAGTATTGAATGAATTGGATGTGGTCTAGTTATGTTTGAAACCTATGTTTTGATCTACAAACCAAGTTGTACCATATCAGTATGGAGACATGGTGTGACAGAGGCTACAAGTGAAGGTGCTGAAGCTGGTAGATGTCTCCTACGGAGGAGAGAATGGTTTCAACCAGGCCATTGAGCTCTCTGCCGAGGTGCTCTCCAACGTCAAGTTTATCCAAGAGAAGAAGCTGATAGGTAAGCTTACAGTGCCTATCTGTGTAGTGATCACATTTTTATATAACAAACCTATGTGCTAGGTTTAAATAACTTAGTTAGAAAGCTCTGATCTTATTCTCTCATTATATTTTAACTTTTTCATTTGTTTTAAGTGTGCTTGTGCAATGGTCCTAAAAAAATTGGCCTTTACACCAATAAAAAAAAACAAACTCAAATTACCTACCAGTTGGTGGAAGTATAGTAGCAGCCTACACCTAGGTGATTAATTGATTTTTCAAGAGTTTGAGATGTTGGCCTGTTTTGTGCAAGTCAGGTTGTTATTTTACCACATGGGCATGGAGACTTGGAGAACTGAGAGAGATGTGGTGTTTGCAGGTCGGTACTTTGATGAGATTTCCCAGGACACAGGCAAGTACTGCTTTGGAGTGGAGGACACGCTGAAAGCCCTGGAGATGGGGTCTGTGGAGACCCTCATTGCCTGGGAGAACCTGGACATTGTGCGGTACATCCTCAAGAACCACACTTCTGATGGTAGGTGTCCTGCTGTACCATTTCTGTTGATCTTGTTCAACTCTGTTTATATATTAGAGAGGGTCAAATATAGAAGATATCCAGTGGCTCTAAAAGTAATGTCGTGGAACAACATGGTTTAAAGGAGTCACTGCTTGTTTTCAGTTGTTGTTTGTGTCTATCGAGTTGACTTTTGGTGATTATGGACAAATATTCTCCAATTTGATCTGGTCCATATACACTCATGGACAAAACTTTAAGGAAATGGAAAATCTTTGATGTTGCCAGTTGTCATTTTTTTTTTTTGAAGGAGACAGGGGCAATTTTATTTACACTGGTCGTCTTGTGTGTCTTCAAAAAAAGCTTTTATTCATATTAGAGCCTGTTGAAGGGAGTTATTGTCCGAAAGCTTGCCAAGCTCGCACCTCTTCAATAAAGAAACTGTACCTTTGGTCTTCTTATCAATATAACTTAAAACTTTTAAAATTCCATTGTCATCTATCGCTAAAATTTGTAATACTTATTTTTGGCAATGTGTATCTTTTAACATATCAAATATCATCTTGTAATTATATGTATGCACCCCTCTACAGCCCTATAAACTTATGTCCATAGGTTCCCTAAATACCCCTAAGCTGCCTTTAGTAAATGCAGGGTATATAACAAAACCAATCCAATACAATAGTAGAGCATTCTGGAGATTAATTTGGTGAAACTGCCGGGAGGGCTCACCACTGATGAGCCAAGCCCTCTCATTCAATGATTTTTATCATAGCACACATGAAGGTCCGTAGACCTGTGTTGATGTCTGAAAAGAAACATGGCCAAAAATAAGTATTACAAATTTTGTCTTCTTATCTCCACTCAACAATCCTATTTGGGTATAAAGCTTGTAGAGCTTATTGATGGTGTCTTCTGGGGATGAGTGGCCTTAAACTAATTGATTTGAGAGGTAAATTTCCATATGATGTGTGTAGAGGAGAAGGTCCTCCATCTGACCCCGGAGCAGGAGAAGGACAAGACCCACTTTACAGACAAGGAGACAGGAGTGGAGCTGGAGCTGATGGATTCCATGCCCCTGTTGGAATGGCTGGCCAACAACTACAAGAACTTCGGAGCTACCCTCGAGATCATCACTGACAGGTCTCAGGAGGGGTCCCAGTTTGTGAAGGGCTTCGGAGGCATCGGGGGAATCCTGCGGTACCGGGTCGACTTCCAGAGCCTGGAGGCCACGGACGGCATCGATGACTTTGATCTGGACGATCTGTAAACATCATTCCACCACCCACACACTTCCAGAACAAGATTTTTCTTATTTCTTTTATTTTTTAAATACAAACAGCTTCTCCAATAAATGGTGCAATTCTAACCTAGACAAGGTGTTTTTTTTTTTTTTTTTCTAAATAATTTATTTAGTGTTTTTTTTTTTCCAATTGGTCAATTTTTTTCTCTCTTCTTTCTTTAGGACAATTTTCCCTGTAACTTAATATATATTTTTATAGAAGTAAAAATTTGCACCATTCTCTAATATGCAGTATTGTATATATAAAAAAAATAATAAAAAAAAGCTCTTTGAAGTTTCCTATTTTTGCTATATGATAAAATAATGAGGAATTTTAAATTATTTTCTTTTTTTTTTTGTCATTGAGAATAATATAAAGAAATGTTTGGGAGCAATAATATTGTAGTAGTTAGAAAGAAATATGCAGCATTTTTATTATTATTATATTTTTTTTTTGTGAAAAAGTAAGTCATTGAAGGTTTTTTATCTTTCTATGAACTAATTTTTTTTTGTATGCCATGTGGAAATTTTTTTAAAAAATATATTTTTTCTTTTTTGACTGTGGGTGTGATTTGGTCACCTCGGTGAAAACATCTGTTTCCACAGTTGATTTTTTAAAAAAGAATAAAAGCAAAACTGTTTTGAAATGAAGTAGCTTTAGTTTTTGTTTCAATTAATATTTTGACTTTTAAACCACATTTTTTCAAATATATATATATTGTCCTTCTCTGTGATTAGTTACATATTTATTTTACTAATTTAAAAACAATCTTATTGGAAGTGTGTTTTGAGACCAAAAGGGATATAAAGAAATAAATAAATTTGCATACTTTGCATATATATTTACATATTATTTTGAGTGGAAGAGAGGAGAAACAAGATTTTGAATATTTCTAGATTTAGAAATGTGTAAGCAATTTAAAAAAAAAAAGATTTTCTATTTTAGTAAAAAAAATCAACTTAAATAGTCTTAGATCATTTCTCACTTGAGAAAAATTGATGAAAATCTTGTTTCTTAACAACCTACTTGCCCTATGTATATTGGAACCTCCCATGAGAGACCATTACATGGCAACTCTCATTGGAAGTTGGATTAGATTACCCCAAGCCAGTTTTAAATCTACAAAGGTGGTCACTTTAGGGAGGTGTTTGCATATCTGATGAATCTTTCTTAATTGCATTTTCCCCAATACTTCTGATTAATTAGAGCTAGTACTGCCAAATAGAAACAAACTATTTAAAGTTGAGAATGTACTAAAGATCATATATATATGGAAATAAGAGACATATCCTGACTGCTCACATGACCATTTTAGAAGGCAGAGCGCCATCTAGTGGAACAAAAATCAACTAAGCATTGATTTAACGTGTGACGTTTTGGTAACAGCATTGTTACCATCTTCAGACAAAAGTACTGAAAATGTAGATTCAGTACATTGATTTAACCTTTTCCATGATATTTGGCCAACCCATTTTCTTGATAAATCAAGTCAACCCATAGGTGTTTTGGGCTGTGGGCTCTTGTCAGCATGGTGTAGGCTGTACTAGATGGCGCTCTGCCATCTAAAATACTCCTATGAGTTGTCAGAATATGTGTTTTTTGTTTTTAATATCAACACCTGACTTTTTTTTCTTATATTTTTCATATACAGTGGTACCTCGACATACGAGCGCCCCAACATACGAGTGTTTCGAGATACGAGCCGACGAGCAAGTGATTTTTTGCTTTGAGTTACGAGCGAAATTCGAGATACGAGTTCGGTTCGGTAGTGTTGAAGATATTAATCTGTGATTTTAAATGGGAATTTTGTATGGGGAAATTTGCTTCGAGATACGAGTAATTCAAGATACGAGCAAGGTTGCGGAACGAATTAAACTCGTATGTCGAGGTACCACTGTATATATATATATATATATGAAAAAAC